CGTCATGCATTGATTAAATTAACCTTGGCTGAGAAATGAAATAATTGGGGTTTGATGGAGCCTTGCCACTGACAGATTCCTGCGTAGGTCTCGTGTTAAAACCAAAAATCCGGGTTTACTCTTTACAGTTTTCTGTAATAGGGGTGCTCAGCCATTTGCCAAATCGCACTTTAAAATGTACGTACCGTTTTCTGCGTCATCACCACCATGAAGTCACTGAAGCTGATTTTACCATACAGGGGCACAAGAGACTGCAAGAATCGCAAAGGAATAAATCAGATTCGGAGTCAGGACGGCGTTCGGATTTCTGGAAAGGAGGGATGTGGCCTTGCCTTGCCTGGCGGCAGAGAGGGAGGCTACCAGAGGGGCCGGCGGAACAAACAGAAGTAGCCCAAGGGCCCGTGGGCTTGTTCCCTTCCAACACAAGGCAAAAGCCATTCCTCAGTTCCGCTCTTGCCTCAGACGGACACCGCTTCCCAGACAGACTCTGCTGTAGCCGCTGCCTCTGGAGTGAAGCATTTAGTATCCAGGGCCCTGCTGAAGACTTCACAGTTAAAACTTCATACTTGAAACTCCTCAAGTGTCTGGAAGAGCTGTTTTGTTACTTGTCAGCAGATCAGAGGGCAGGCTGTACCAGCGGATTTGTTTGTATTTTTGTATGTTTCTTTCCTTTTCTATACTTCTTTCCACAACTCTGACAGCTTAAAATAAGACGCTTTATTTTAAATACAATCTTATATCTGCAGCCGCTGAACATTCCTGCAAACACACAGCTTTCAGCAGCAGCACTGGTAACTTCCCTCTTCTTTTGCAGAGATTTCTTTAAACAGGTGAACTCAATAGCAGTAAGTTGCAGCAGTCTATTTACTTCTTTTCCCAGTTTAAAGAACATACTAAAAAAGGGGGACGGGGGTAATCACCTAAGATGGAGTATAAAAAGCTGATTCCTGCAAATACGTCATATAAAGAGTTCACTATAGCTGGGCCCAAACCAAGACGTTAAACCAAAAACTTCCAACTGCTGGGAAACAGAGATCTACGCTACCTGGTTTTGAGTCCTCTCTTCACCAAATCATAATCGTTTGACACATGGTTTTTAGTCAGAGGAGGATCTGTCCCTGAAAAATGTGATTTGTGTATCAAAAAGGACGAGCGTAAACATCTTACGAGCACAAACGAGCAACCACGTTGCTACATGTAAATGGGTTAGCAGTTGGTAACTGTCCACAAAATCAAGTTTAAGATCATCCACTTAAAAAAAATACTGACCTCTATTTTCTTCTGTCTCAAAAGAAATAAGAGATTGTAAAAAAGTGAGGCACCTACCAAACCTATATACACATGTGCAAAAAGAAATAAAATCCTGTTTCAGTAAAGGCTGGTCTTCTTCATGATCCGCAAGAATTCTTGCTCATTCACTTCCCCATCCCCATCTCTGTCTGCTTCATCGATCATTTCCTGAAAAGATATTTGTATTCAGACATTAGATGCAGATTTAGACTAGGATTGGAATTATCGGATTCATTCAGAATTAGAACCACTTCTTAGTAAATTGTATCAGAGGGGACAGTGTCAGCTCAACATCAGGCCTACTATGCTACAAAGTATTTACTGAATTAGACACCAATATGTTTTCATATATATTTATACAAAAATCTGTATAGAAGATGTTGTATTATAACTGTCCTGGAAGAAACAAAGTGCTTGGAGCAGAGTTGTTCCTTTTACATCACCATAACTCCATAAAAGTCCAATTCTACCTACGCAATTTCGGCAGCCATGCATGCTTAACCCATCTTTGGCCTCAGAATCCATTTCCCAATAGCGAACTGACGGCAGCTCTTCAATTTCTGCCAGGAGAGGGGGCAGATTTTCCTAACAGTTCAAGTGCAAAGATCCCACAGGACGCTAGAGGACAGCACCTGAAACTGAGAGACTGCTGCCTTTACCTGAAAGCTGACCCTGAGAGGGCTTCCGTCCCCTCCTGCGAGATTCCCATTCCTTCGCCTCGCTGCTAGCTCTAGCGCTTAGCAGACCAGTCAGAGAGGTGGCTCAGCTCTCCACACAGAAGGAGAATTAGGCTGTGACTATTTACAAGGGTTTTAAATGAACATAAATACGAAACCAAGTGATACATGAACATTCTGTGACTACTCAACTCAGCGAGTGTTTGCGTACAATACGGTTTCATGTACCAGGTACAAACCTGCAGCTCTTCATCTGTGAGATTCTCCCCCAGTTCTTTGGCGACACGTTTGAGGTTTTTGAAAGAGATTTTGCCGGTTTCATCGTCATCAAAGAGTTTGAAAGCTTTGAGAATCTCCTCTTTGGAATCTTTTTCAGCCTTAAAGAAGTAAGCATATGTTTAAGGAAAAAAGTAGTGGTTATGTTGTAGGTAACACTCAAAATCAAGTTACAGAAGACAAGCATTAGAAAGACTGAGAAGCTCTGTTAGGAGCAAATTTAAAGCAGCCCAGCCAGCAGGAAGTACATGTGCAAAAGCTGAAGAGACACAGAGACACAGCGATGTTTCCTGAACCCCAGGGTTTCAGGGTATTTTTTTTTTCCTTCATAGCTAGCCAGATGTCTTTGGGATTTCAGTGTCAGGATCTTCCACGGTTAAATATCTGGGTTCACTCAACATGGTTTAAGATTTTTAACACCAGAGATTTCATCTGTAAATATCTTAAAACTCAAGAAAAGAAAATACATTGCATTGCTACACAGTCAACCATGTCACACACCTATACTCCCAACAGCTTTCTGCAGGCTGGACCTGGCTTTATTCTGTGACAAAAATCTTGATGTCAGTTTTTCCCTTTTCTCACACACACGCACAAAATTGTTTGCTAAAGAAACTTGTTAATGACATAATTCTTTCAACCTTACCTTGAAAAATGAGATAGGGTAGTCCCTGTCTTGCAATTCTAACTTCTATGTATTTTGGTGTTAAGATTAAAATAGTGCTTTCATCTTCCACAAAAACCAAAAGGAGATGAAAGGCACTCAGCCATTTTCCAAATTGCTTGCACTTTACAATTTACATACCATTTTCTGCGTCATCACTACCAAGAAGTCATTGAAGCTGATTTTTCCCGTCCCTGCCTTATCGATATCCGATATCATTGTCTTGATTTCTTCTTTTTTAGGTTCAAACCCTAGTGCTCTCATGGCCACCTGTAAGGACAAAAAAAATCTTTATAAATCATACAAAACTATCAACAAAACTGCAGGGGGTAAACAAAGTTGAACTTTATGCCATATCATGTTTAAAACACGCATTCTGCGTCTCAAGGAAAACAGCAAGGTAAGGGGCAGACTTAGAGCAAAGCTTCTCTACACACAAGGGCACATCAAGATGCAGAAAACAGGCGCGCAACCGTTCACATCCTGGGGCTGGCCTTCAGTTAATTCAGAAATTTCCTAAACACATTCTTACCATCGCACCCACCGCCCCCAGCTCAGAACTGGCAAAAATTTGGGGGGTAAGGCTATATAGCAGAGTCTGGGGAGAAATATTTTCTCTGAGAAAATTTGGATTATTTTATAAAGTCTTAGCATACCTGTTTTGGTATATCCTTTTTAAAATTCTTTTGATGGGCACTCAGAACGTAAAAGAGTCCCACTATGATTAGTATTTTTAAGGAAAAATCCCAAACTATCACACAGTGCTGTGGATAGCAATTTCCAAGGCCACTGGAAAACTGAATGTTATTCCATTCCTGTCAGGAGAATTGCTACTAGTATTCCCTTTGCAATGAGAAACAAGACCCTGAATAATAATAATAATTAAAAAAAACCCCTTATTACAGGCCCTGTTGTAAGCAAGATGGCTAAATGGAAGACCCAGAAATGTCTCAACACAATAACTTCAAGACAAGTGTCTGTGTGAAAGAAGCTTCCATCACACCTGCAACTCCACTGAACTCTAACAACCTGATCTGATGGCACAAACATGGAAAGTCTTAAGCTGGTAGACCACAGGGAACTTAAATCAGTTAATTTTTCATTCCAGTGACAAGAATCTTTTTCAATCAATGTTGGGAAAACCCAATTCAAACCCTTTGTGTGCCTTTCTGACAACACTCCTACAAGCAGCATATCCAAGCATGGCTTTGCTTGCAGACACAGGCATGCACACCGACGCACTTTCCTTTTTCCTCCTCTGATAAAGGGACAAGTGGCAAGTTTGAAATCAGGTCTGTGGTCTTCAGTTAACTTAATCCCTATGGTCTTAAGTAATATGGACGTCCAGCTAGCAAATAGGAAGGGCAAATTCTGAAAGCAAAAGAAGTCCTGATTTATTGATTACTATTCTGCCCAAAGCACAGGGGTGGGGAGGGACCCAAAGTGTTTTGCAGTAAATAAAAGCGTGAAGATGAGTAACACTGGCGTATTCCATAGCTTGGATAACATAATTCACAAAGCGTGCAATCCTCAGCAACGCGTAAGAGGGGAAAAAAACCCACCACCTTCTTACAGAATCACAGAATCATAGAATCGTTTAGGTTGGAAAAGACCTTTAAGATCATCCACTGCAACCATTAACCTAACACTACCAAGTCCACTCTAAGCCAATCAAGGGTAGACCAGACTGAACCATGTCCCCAGGTGCCACCTCTGCCCGTTTTTTGAACACTTCCAGGGATGGGGACTCCCCCACCTCTCTGGGCAGCCTGTTCCAATGCTTGACCACCCTTTCCATAAAGAACTTTCTCCTAATTTCCAACCTAAACCTCCCCTGGCGCAGCTTAAGCCCATTTCCTCTCGTCCTATCGCTAACTACATGGGAGAAGAGACCAACACTCACCTCACTACAACCTCCTTTCAGGTAGTTGTAGAGAGCGATCAGGTCTCCCCTCAGCCTCCTCTTCTCTAAGCTAAACACCCCCAGCTCCCCCAGCCGCTCCCCACCAGCCCTGTGCTCCAGACCCTTCCCCAGCTCCGTTGCCCTTCTCTGGACACGCTCCAGCACCCCAATGTCCTTCTTGTACTGAGGGGCCCAAAACTGGACACAGCATTCCAGGTGCAGCCTCACCAGCGCCGAGTACAGGGGCACAATCACCTCCCTGCTCCTGCTGGCCACACCATTCCTGATACAAGCCAGGATGCTGTAGGCCTTCTTGGCCACCTGGGCACACTGCTGGCTCATGTTCAGCCACACAAACCATTTTTGGTGTTCTGCTAACAGAGAAGGAGACTACAGAAAATACAGAACCATCAGTGTAGCTTGGCCAGCCTCGCTCTGAAGTACACCTGATAACAGCAGTAAAGAGCTGTAATTAAAGAGAAAAAGGTACCTCTTGACAACAAGGTTTTATGCTGGGGGGTGGGGATCTCCTTTCCTGTTTAAGGCCATTTAGGTGTTTATACCCCTATTACTTTATAACCTCAGCAGAACTGTGCTTTTAGCAGTAGGAAAATTCTTACCTTTAGCTCCTTAACGTCTATGCTCCCAGTGCCGTCTGTGTCAAACAGGTCGAAAGCCTCCCGGATCTCCTGCTTCTGCTCCTCGGTCAGCTCCAGCTTGGGACCCGCTTTCTTCCTCTGGGACGCGGCTCCCAGCGAGGGCTTCTTAAAGCTGGAAGCCTTGGCACAGCAACACAAGAGGTTGAAAGGAGAGGTTGAAAGGAGGCTGTAGTGAGGTGGGTGTTGGTCTCTTCTCCCATGTAGTTAGTGATAGGACGAGAGGAAATGGGCTCAAGCTGCGCCAGGGGAGGTTTAGGTTGGAAATTAGGAAAAATTTCTTTACGGAAAGGGTGGTCAAGCATTGGAACAGGCTGGTTGGCAAGCATTGGAACAGGCTGCCCAGAGAGGTGGGGGAGTCCCCATCCCTGGAGGGGTTCAAAAAACGGGCAGAGGTGGCACTGGGGACATGGTTGAGTCTGGTCTACCCTTGATTGGCTTAGTGTGGACTTGGCAGTGTAGGTTAATGGTTGGACTGGGTGATCTTAAAGGTCTTTTCCAACCTAAACGATTCTAGGATTCTATGGTTTAGTGGGCATGGTGGTGTTGGGTTGATGGTTGGAATGGTGATCTTAGAGATCCTTTCCAACCTTAGTGATTCCTGGTTCTACTTTCATTAAAAAATAATCCAGCACCAAGCCAGGAAACATGACATTAATTACTGCTCTGCCCTTACCTGGTTCAGTGTTGGCCCTGGCAGTGTCGGGCTGCTGGTTGGGCTGGGTGAGCTGGGTGTCCACCCTGAGCGGCTCTGTGATTGGCCAGCACCTGGCGGGGGCGGATCCAAGAGGCGACTGAGCGGGGCGAAGCGCCTC